GCTCGGCGGGGAGCCTGTTTCTCCCTCTGACCTTCCCCCCTCTCATGCTGTTTCTCTCTCGCTCGCTCTCTAATAAATAAATAAATAAAATATTTAAAAAAATAAAAAAAATAAAAACTCAGATGCAGGGCGCCTGGGTGGCTCAGTTGGTCAAGCGTCTGCCCTTGGCTCTGGTCATGATCTCAGGGTCCTGCTCAGCGGGAAGCCTGCTTCTCCCTCTCCCTCTGCCCTCCCCTGCTCATGTCCTTTCTCTCTCGAATAAATAAATCTTTTTAAAAAATAAATCAATAAAAAATAAAACAAAAACTCAGACGCTTATGCAAACCTTAGAATGCCGGCCAGAGTTGGACAATGTTGGATCTCAGTGCAGTAAACTTCTCTCAAAGTAATCCGAGGAGAAAGGGCACCTCTGAGCCTGCCCATAACTGTCCCCGGCTCAGATCCCGTGCAGCCTCACCTCCTCTAGGACGCTGCCTCTCCCCTGTCTCCTCCCTCCTCTGAAATCCATAAGTTCACACTTGCCACTTGCAGAATCCAGCATGCTTGGTCATCTTCTGCTATGTGGGCCTTTTCTCCCAGTTATAGTTGGCATCTCCCCAGCACCCCAGGGCAAGAACCCCAGGGGTATCATGAGCCTTTTTGTACCGCACCGTACCTTAGACACACAGGAGGTGGTCACCAGTGTTGGTTGGCTGAAATATACCTTTGGTCCCTTCCAGTATGAACCAGATCTAGAACACAGGTAATTTGCCAAGTGGGGGTCATTTAGGGAAACTTTTTTTTTTTTTAAGATTTTATTTATTTATTTGACAGAGACAGCGAGAGCAGGAACACAAGCAGGGGGAGTGGGAGAGGGAGAGCAGGCTTCCCGCCGAGCAGGGGGCCCGATGCGGGACTCGATCCCAGGACCCTGGGATCATGACCTGAGCCGAAGGCAGACGCTTAACGACTGAGCCACCCAGGCGCCCCATTTAGGGAAACTTTTTATGAGTAAATAGGAAAGTGTGAAACCCGCGCATGGGTTTTCTATGTAAACGATGCTTTTAATGTGCCGGGGAAATAGTTTTTGTTCACTAGAAAAGCAGACTAAGTAGATGTCTTTGGCTACCTCTTCTAAAATTGCTTTAAAAAACCCTTCTTTCATTAATCGAGCTCCTGGTTCACAGTAGGGGGTCCAAGTGAGTGGAATTTTTTGTCGTGTTCGTCATCACTGGATAAGGGTGCATGCACCATGTACCAATGACAGAGAAGAAGCCAGGTGTCCTGGTGACCCAGAGACACGGCAGTGTGAGGGTTAGGAAAGCCATGGCGTTTGGGGTATCTCCAGCAGCGGGGCATGCTGGAGCCATGCTGTCCCGGAAGGACTGCCCGGGGTCTGGCCCTCAGCGTAGGGCTGGGCGCTCTCTAGGACCCCAGTCGCTCCTTGGCCGATTTCTTGGTCCGTTTCTGTGCATCTAGCTCTGAGCCCAAGAGAGGGACCAGCTGCCTCCTCGGCGTCAGAGCACTTTCGTGGATCTTCGTGTGACACTTTTTTCTCTTCTCAGGAAGTTTCTAAAAACCTCACCAAGGAAAATGAGCAAATCAAAGAAGACATGGAAGAAATTCGAATGGAGATGAGCAAGCAAGGGAGAGAGAACTGCTCTGGCAGCGTCCTAGACAGCATGCCCGACGTGCGCTTGGCTCTGCAGAGGGACGCAGCTGCAGCCTACGCCCACCCAGAGGTACGGCCCTGGCCCCGAGGCAGCCGAGGGGTGGGGTGGGGGGTGGGCAAAGTCCCGGGAAGCACCCGGCCATGGTCTCATTTCTTCTAGATGGCCCTTCTGCAGGTGTGTTGGGGCAGGGGACTGAGTCCGTGGTACCTAATGGTGAAGCCCAGAGGGGCTCAGTGAGGAAGTGGTGAGGCCAGGACTCCGGAGTCCCAGGCCCCACCCTGCCTCTGTGAGCGCCCCTGAGTGATGATTAAGGAGCAGTGTGCATGCTGCCTCGTCTGGGACCCTCGTGGTTCACTCCTGCCGTCCTGGCATCATTATTGACAGAACCATCTTGCAGTCTCAAAAGTGCCCCGGTTTAGAAACAGTAAGTTGGGGGACCTTCCTGTTCATACAGGACTTGTGGTGCATTCGGACTTCTTTCGCTATCCCGGGTGGTTTTCCTCATGGCTCCAGGAGGCAGGCAGGGCGGAGATCAGGATCCTCTTTCCAGATGAGGGGACACATTCAGGAACGCTCGTGGGATGCCTTACTCAGCAGGAAGCGGTGGCAGGGGGTCTCAGACCTCTGTTTCCTCCCACCCGGTGGCATCCCGGCACGAGGTCCCCCGTGCGAGAAATGGGACGCTGTCTGACGGTGTCTGGAGCAGTCCCACAGGACCTGCTTCTCAAAAATGCCCCCGCCCGATGCCAGCTTCTTTTGGCCCCAGTTACTAAGTTAGCTGGTGTGTATTACTGTGGCTCTGAGTACTGCCATTTAATGTGGTGGTTGTGTCCTAAGCTGATGCCCAAGAAATAGTATCCATTTGGGAGCTAACCCCGAAGAGTGGAAGAGCAAACAGGTAACTTTGGTGGCAGGACTTGAAGAGTGTGAGATGCAGTGAGTCTCACTGGATCTGGATCAAGTGTCATAAAAGAGGGTCCTTGGCAACCAGGGGACAACAGCAGTTAAGAGAGGCCTTGCTTGCTTTAACCGGGCCAAGGGTCGGTGGTGGACGGCAGAGCCTGGATTCCAGATGGACCAGCCTGGGGCAGCAGGCAGGGTGTGGGGGAGCAGGGCCTGGGACAGTCAGAGCCGCTGAGCTGTTGCCGTGCACCGGGGCACGGAGAAGGGCTAAGCATTGCTACATAGGACTTTTTTGCCTGGGGCAGCAGGAACTGGGGCAAGAGAGGAAGTCAGCCTGGGCTTGGAACTCATGGAAACTCATCAACGTGGTGCCAAGCAGAGCAGCTGTGGGTTAAGGGGATCCTGGGCACATGTGTTCCCAAAGTAGGAAGGCAGGCAGATTAGGACTTTGGAGGCAAGAAGCCCCAAAGACAGAATGGTGCTTGCATCCTGCCCAATGTGTAACTCAAAATAAAACCACTTCCAAACCAGAAAATAAGGATAAGGAAGGCCAGTAGTTTTCTGGCTTTGCCCATGATGACTACTTTGATGCTTTTTTGGATGTTATATTTTTTCAACGATTATTTTTATTCTCATTTTTAGTTGTCTCCCAATAGGCTAGCTACTAAGCTTGTGTTTAGTCTGCTTGGTGGGTCATCCTTGAACAGATCCGAGTTTATAAACCAAAAAGCCGAGGACATTCGGGCTGGAAGGGACCTTGGAGGCACCCTCTCCCCCCACCTGGGGCCCAGCGGCTCCTATCTCAGCCCATCTGGTATGTCCTGCTGGCCCGGTGCCCAGTGGAGTCCAGCATTCCCTGTCGTCTCTGGCCTCCAGCTTCCCAGTCGGCTGAGCTGGAGAATTCGGCTGTTGTCTTGATGATACATTATGTGGTATGTTCAGCAACCCAGCTCATATTTCCTGAGGGCAAACAGTAAACCAAATCAAACACACCAAGCTCTTTTTCTCTTTGCTCAGCAAAGCCCTTTCCCCTCCTGAAATCCTCATTCATCACACTGCTGAAGTTAGCACAATCCACCCAAACCAGGGTGGCGGTAGGTAGAGCCAGGGCCAGGGAGGGGCAGGAAAGGGGAAGTCGGGAAGGAGGCCCAAGGCTAGGATCTTCCTCCCCTCCTTCGTCTTTCTGTGTCTTTGGCAAACCCCATGCTAGAAAGGAGGCAAGTGGGGGCTAGGTTTGGTGGTTATTTTCAGGGTTCTTAGATGATATTGGGGTTTCTCGGAGTGGTGAGTGGCAATTTGTTGGAGGCTGCTCTCCAAGAAGGTCCTTGACTGGAGGGTTGGCAAGGGGCTTGGGGGGCTGGGTTGGGAGTGGAGAGGGCAGGGTGGGAGCGGGGATAGAGGGACGCCAGGAGTTGAAGTCATTCAACAGGCTCTTGGATTAGCAGAGAGGGGAAAGCAAAGCGTGGTGGGGACAGCTGCCGCCCAGCTCAGCCTGTCGCCAGTGAATCCAAGGAAATTATATGTTCTCTGGCAGAGGCTGCCATGGTCTTGCTCCATCTCCTTGGCTGGGAGAAGGAACTGCAGTTCCCGCCTGTCCCGGAGGGCCTGGAATTAAAGACAGTTCCTGGGGTTTACCATGGAGAAATGACAACCTGCTTTTGCAATGCACAGGGAGACCAGGGTCCAGCAATTAGCTGGCCCACAGCGTCTGAGTCAAGCGCAGGGGCCCTCGTCAGCCTCCCAACCTCCTTCCCCAGTGGGAAATGAGGGATCCCCACGTCTGCTGGGTACTGGCCAGACCAGGGCCCTGTGGACCTGGGGATGTAGATGAGTTTTTGGATGGCAGACAAGTTAGTCCCGTGGTCAGTGCTCTGGGCAGCGTGGCTTCATGGCAGGAAGGGGGCAGGCTCTGAAGACAGTGGCTGGCCCTGGACCTGCTTCGTAGGTGCCCGCCTCCGCCCTTCACCCACTGACCTGCAGCCACCTCGCTAAATGACCCTGAGCCCCTCTTTCCTTGCTTGTAAAGTGTGGATTGTGCTGTCTACCTTGCCCCGTTGTTGTAAGGGCCAAAAATACCAGGAAGGGACGTGTCTGGTCGGAGTGGGTGCTCCCTAAACTCCCAGCTCTGCAGGCCACGCGTCCCTGCATCTCTCGTCGAGATCACCTCCCCAGCAGGAAATGGGAATTGAGGAGGGGCTGGTGGCAGGCGTGGGGGCTCCCAGGGTGTGTGCCTGCGCCTCTTTGGGTGGCTCTCCGCCCCCCCCCCAGGGGAGACTGGCAGAAGGGCGCTCCCGGCTTGCGGGAGCCGGTCTCCACAGACAGAGGAACTGCCGCGTCTGCTCTGTCACCTGGGTCGGCTCTTCTGTCACAGGAAGGCTAGTACGGGTGGGGGGGCGTGGTCGGGAATGACTCTGGGTTTTCCCCAGGCCAGATTTGTAAGGTCAAAACAAGAGCCTGATTCGCTTCTTCTGGGGCAGTGAGAAAGTTCGCCATTCCGGCTGGGCTTCGGCCGGCTCGTATTCTGTGACCCTGAAGGTCCGGCTCTGCCTATCAGGACCTGGGGCATCATCTGGGACAGAGGTTTTGTTTCCAAGTGGGCTCTGCTCTCTGGGTGGGTTTCACTGAGAGTCACAGGGTTTAGGGGAGCTTATCCACCTCCTCGTGGTGAGAAGGGGGCTTCTGCGGCTTAGGTGGCAATAGGAAGCTGCCTCTTCATTATTAGGCCCCGGGAGTCCTCCTGAGAGCAGGGCTGGGCCTGCTCTTGGGTCCCTTCACACTTCCCTGATGGAGCCACCACCCCGGGAGCTGGACCCTTCTTTGGTGGCCCTGCTTTGAACACAGCTCACGGGACCTGTGCCCAGAGTCTGTTGTTTTCCGTGGTGGTGATTGTGATCCTGGATTGGGGGCAGGTCCATGACCTGATGGACCAGAGACCTTGCCACACTGTGGACACAGGAGGGCCGATCCTGGGCTGGGCAGCAGCTCCAAGAAGGACTGGGTGGCTCTTCTGTTTGACCCGAACACTCCCAGCCGTGTTGGCCTGGTGCCATCAAGATGCTCAGGTCACGGCAGCCTACTATAAAGCATCATTTGACAAAACCCCAGGGCCGGGCAGAAATGTAGCCCATTCCTTGGGATTTGTTATGATTGACAAACTCATTGTAATAGGGGCGCCTGGCTGGCTCAGTCAGCAGAACATGCGACTCCTGATTTCAGGGTTGTGTTATAGAGCCCCACGTTAGGCATAGAGATTACTTTAAAAAAATTCAATGTAACTAGTGTGAAGGAATCAAAGATGAGCAAGAGGTGGTTGCTGTTCTTCCAGTTCCTTAGAGTCTACAGAGACAGAATCCTTAAATAATGCCCATAGAAGGCAGGCCGGGAGAGGTGCCGTGACAGAGGTGTAGACTTACGTCCATTAGAAGTTGTGTTTAGCGTTGAGGAGAAGCCCCAAACAGTAGAGGGGCCGCTGTTCTCTCGTGTGGAAGGAGCCCCGAAGGCAGGCCGGCCTCGGCCGGTGTGATTAACTGCATGGAGCCATTAGCGATGTCCATCCTCAGAATCCCCTCATGGTCACAAGATGGCTGCTCAGCTGCAGCCACCCGGTCCACATTTCGGGCCAGACAAATTAGGAAGAGTGCGAAAGATGCCTTCCAGCTGACTCAGCCTCCCTCTTAAGGAACTTTTCCAAAAGCTCTTTCCACCAACGTCTACTTATACCCCACTGGCCAGAACTTTGTCCTGCGGCCGCTCCCACAAAGCCGGTTTCCCATTAGAAAGGAACAGGAGCTAGGATTTGCGTAAGTCAGTCAGAAGTCTCTGCCACAACGTGCAAAGTGAGGATTGGGAAAGAAAGATTAATTATGGATGAGAAGGTCTGGGAGTATTTTCTTGAGGACCTGAGATGGTAGCCAGGCCTTGAGAAATGGGTAGATTATGGTAAGCAGCTCTGGGAGCGGGGAGGGCATGGCCTTCCCGACGGAGAAAACATTCCCAGCAAAGACCCCGCAGCTCAGGAGAGCCAAGAGGGTGAGTAGTCAGCCAAGTGACTGAAATACCAAGGGTTGGGGCTGGGGGCGGAACCAGAGAGAAGAATGCTGAGCTGGGTCAAGGTCTGTTTTTAAGAGGGGTGTAAATGCCAGGCCAGGGACCTTGGACTTTCTTCTGGATGCATCAGGGCGGGTTTGGGGCCGTTTCTTCTGATCGTGGAAGTAAAAGCTTCTTCCTGAGGTGTGCATCTTGGGCCTCAGGCCTCATGTCCCAGCCCGGGCACCGTCACCCACGCAGGGACCTCACTGGAAACACCTGGTACCAGGTGGAAATCAGGCAGCAGCCCTCGGCCAGAGCTGAGAGGAGAGCCGCACTCTCTGGGAAGAGCAGTGTGGAGGTTAGAGACACATGCTGGAGCCAGGCTGCCGGGGTTCACATCCTACCTCTACCACTTACCTGCTGTGGGACCTGGGGCAATGTGCATAACCTCTCTGTGCCTCAGGTTCCTAAGGTGTAAATGGGAATGATAAAGAGCTCCTACCTCGGAGGACTCGTGGGAAGATTCCATTAGTGGGAATAAGTAAAGCACCCAGAACAGTGCCTTGGCTTGCAGCATTGCCTCCTCCTCACCACTGCCTGTCTGACCAGTGACCTGGCCTCCCCTTGTGTCCCCTCTGAGGAGCAGTATGAGGAGCGGTTTCTGCAGGAAGAAACCGTGTCCCAGCAGATCAACGCCATCGAGCTCCTGCAGACGCGGCCCCTGGCTGCGCCCGAGGTGGTGAGGCCCCAGCGACCCCTGCAGAGGCAGGTGCACTTGCGGGGCCGGCCGGCCTCCAAGCCCACCGTCATCCGGGGCATCACCTACTACAAAGCCAAGGACCCCGAGGAGGAGAATGACATCGAAGAGCAGCGTGAGTTGGGGTCAGCAGGCCACTGTGGAGGTAGGGTGGGGAGGGGGTCACCATTTGGACCCCTCTGCAGTCTGAGGACTGCTGTGGCCCCACAGAGCCAACGGGGTCATGGGGGGACTCGCCCGCAGTGACAAGTGATCCAGAGTTCCTGCTGCATTTCCTTATGATTCGCTGAGCAGCCTTGGGCAGGTCACTTGAGGTCTCTGGGCTTGCGGAAAATCACAGAGCACAGCTGTAAGGGACTTTGGTGCCCTCCAGTCCTGTTTGGGGGACACTGAGGGCTTGCGGGGGGCAGTGATGTGCTCAGAGCCCCACCTGGTGTCCCTGCCTCCAGGGGACCTGGGCTTCCCCCCTGTCCCAGTTGTGCTCTCCTAGCTGTTGGCATAATCAGTTTGTCCACTTTTAACCTTGTTTGTTGTCTTTTTAAATTATTGATTTGTGGGATTTTTTTTTTTAAATTCTGGAACTAGTCCTTTGTCAGTGGTACATACTGCACATGTTTCTGCCCTGCCCGTGGCTTGCAGTTTCAGTTCCTTAATGGTGGTTTTGACAAACAGATGAAACGCAATTTAGCCTGTATTTCATTTGTGGTTAGACCCTCGTTGTGTCCTAAGAGAGTTTGCTTCCTCATATTCCTTCTCTGCTCAAAACCCTGCCCCCTCCCCCACTTCACTCAGAAGAAGAACTGAAGTCCGAACCCAGCGCCCAAAGCTCACGTGGTCTGGCTCCTGAGCCTTCCCTGCCATCACCGGTTACTCTCCCCGCACACCCCCGCCTCGTCCACACTGGCTGCGCTGCTGCCCCTCGGCCTCCACAGGCACGTTCTGGCCTCAGGGCCTTTGCACTGCTGCTATTCACCCTGGAAATCTCTTCCGCAGATGGCTGCTTGGCCAGCTCCCTCACCTCCTTCAGGTCTCTCTCATCTCCATCCTGAGCACTTGATCCATTACTGCAAGTCTTCCCCCGCCGCCCACCAGCTCTCTGGACACGCCTCACCTACTCGACTTTTTTCCCCAGCACCATCAAGCATGTTGTCTACTTATCATTTAGTGTCTGCGCCCCAGACAGAAGCTTCACGAGGGCAAGATGTTTGTTTTGCCCATGGTTGTTGAGCATGCACCATAAATATGTGCTGGATAAATGGACGGGGTGACTGGCTTCCCCCGGGCTCCATGGCCATGGGTGTGTGTCCTCCTGGTGTCCCTGAGCCTGGGTGGAGCTCAGAGGCAGTCTATTCAGAGACCCTCCAGGAGAGGCAGTGCCCTCCCATCTCTGCGACTTCTCACCCTCCTCTTCTGAAATCCCAGCCAGGCCCCATCTCTGAACCAATGTTGAGGAAAGGAACCCTCTTATTTTTTTTTTTTTTCTAAAGATTTTAGGTATTTATTTGAGAGAGAGATAGTGAGGGAGAGCACGAGTGGGAAGGAGAGGGAGAAGCAGGCTCCTCCGCAGAGCTGGGAGCCTCACGTGGGGCTGGATCCCAGGACCCTGAGATCATGACCTGAGCCGGAGGCAGACGCTTCACCGCCTGAGCCCCCCAGGCGCCCCAGGAACCCTCTTCTTAATCTGCCAAGGACCACAAGCTCTCCCTGAGTCACAGACAACCTTGTGTTTGTTTCCTAGAAGACGAGTTTTTCAGTGGTGACAATGGAGTGGATTTGCTGGTTGAAGATCAGCTTCTGAGACACAACGACCTGCTGAGCAGTGCCACCCGGAGGCCAGTGGTCACCCATCAGGGCACCACTGGGATGAGTGACACGCAGACCTCAGCCCTGGCCGTACCCTCCGATCCCAGCACGCCGGACCCCACCCTGTCTGCCTCAGTGGAACCGTTCTCAGCACCGCTCCAGACCTCCTCGGTGTTTCCAGGTCCCACAACGGAGGCAAGCCTGGAACCTTCCACTCAGGTACCAGCCACCACCGTGGCCCACACAGCCACCCAGCAGCCTCCGGCCTCAGCTTCCCTGCCAGGTGCCTCTGGGGACGCATTTACGGAGGCTCCGCACACGGGCCTAGTGCCTCCCACCACAGTCCGGACAGACTCGCTGGGGAGAGATGCTACCACAGGGCAGAGCACAGCTCCTGCCAACCCCACCCTGAGCCCAGAAGAGGAGGATGACATCCGGAATGTCATAGGTGAGTTCCTTCTGCCTGGACTCCGTGTCCTGCTCAGCTCTGGTAACAGGCTCAGCCTGGGGTTAGATTGAAAGCAGAGAGAGGAGCCAGACCTTCAGACTTCTCTGGAAGGACAAGTAAGTGGAGTTATGCCTTTGGCCAGTGATCAGTGCTAATAACATCTAGGGGTGTTGTTGTTTTGAGAGAGAGAGAGAGAGAGCATGTGCATACACATAGAAGCGGGGCGGGGGGGCAGAGGGAGAGAGAATCTCAAGCAGACTCCTTGCTGAGCACGAAGCCTGACAGGATGTTCGATCTCATGACCCTGATCATGACCTGAGCTAAAATCAAGAGTCAGATGCTTGACTGACTGAACCACCCAGGCGCCCCAACATCTAGGGTTTATGTATTTGAAGCATGCCAGTGACACTAATGGGAAGCTCCTTTCTAAGCATATATAAGTCAGTGGAGACAGGGCCCTTCCTCACTGGTCAGATTTGTAAACATTGGTTGAGTGCTTTCTGTGTCCTAGGCTTTGCGATGGGGATTGGGTATTTGGCAATGACTAAGTTTTCTGCAGTAGGTTTACCAGGCCATGAAATACCAAGGGACTCTTACTCGTGGGGTCGGGGTGAGAGGTGGTCCTAGAATAATAGAGAAGAGGGAGCAGGAGAATTACTGGTACAGTGGGCCCCAGGGCCCGATCCTATGAGTGGCAGCCTTGGAGGGCATGGGAGCCACCGTGGCTTCATGTGATAAACACCAGGGCAGCGGAGGAGTGGAGCAAGAGAGGGAGCGTGGCCTGGATGCTAAGAAGGCTGGGGAGGCCGTTCTAAGGAGGTGTCGTTTGAGCTGGGTTTTGGAGGATGAACAGGACTTTTCTAAACAGAAGGGAAGCTTTCTGACTGTTAGGTCTAAAGGAGCAAAGCATGTTCCAGAAGCGTGAAGAGTGCAGCCCTGTTCTGTGCCCTGTTCTGGGAGCTCCAGAGCCACACGATGACTCTGGGAACTGTGGATGGAACATGCGTTGGGGAAAGACAGAGAAGGAAATGGAAGCTGGCTACAGGTGTCTCTCCCAAAGAGAACGCAACCAAACTTCCATTGAGGCACCGCTGAGACTGACTGAAAAATAACACTGTTGAATAATAGTTTCATCAACGTGCTTGTTGAAAAAAGTACGTGCTTTGACAGAGGACATGGTTTGCTGTCTCTTCTTTTCCTTCTTCCCATTTCCCGCTCCCTTGGCCGCCTTGTCCCCATTCCCTCCTCAGAACAAGACGCTGGCTACTGTCAGACAGGTGGTGGGAGGAGCTCCTGCCCTGAGCAGACACCTGAGTTACAGCCTGGTCTCAGCCGCTAACAGCTGTGTGACCTTGGGTGGATTCCTGCCCTTCTGTGGGTCTCCAATGTAATTAGATATTTGCTAAAAGACTGTTTCTTCCACGAAATCCTGTGGTTTCTTGCAATAGTTTTATCAGGCCAGGATACAGCAAGGGATTCTTATTGGGGGAAAATCCCAGAATAATGGCAGTGGGAGCAGGGAAATAACCAGTAAAAATAGTCCCCAGGGCAAAATCTCTTGAACCTCCAGAAGAAGGCAGTGCGTGGGCCACAGAGGTTGGGTGGGAGCAGGAGAAGATGGTTTTTTTCATTTTCTTTCTCTTCCATGGTGGGAGCAAGCTGACCATGGCATAGAAGACAGTTCCTCTGCATGGACAGTGAATTCCGAAGCTGTAGGTCCTGCTCGATTTTCACAGAATGCCCTGGGGCCTGAGCCCGAGGTTCCCACTTCCTCACTGGCTCTGGGCAGCCTCGACCGTGCTCCTGGGACCACAGGCCCTGAGCCCCGGACCGTACCCCCCACTCTGCCACCGCTTCATCCGTGAGTGGGACAGTTCCCCCAGAAACATAGCTGCGCCCCCCACGGGTGGCTCGGACATGGACAGTGAAGACAGGTAGGCCTGCACACCTGTGTGCCCTCAGTGATGGTGTCGATCAGCCTCGGAGCCTCCTCCCCGGGTGACTTCCTCACCAGGAGTGGAGTTCTCGGTTGTGCCTGCCTCCCCTGGGGCCTGCCAGCAGGGTAACTGCCAACAGGCACCTTTCTGGGGCTCTCAGGAGCCTGCCTCCTCCAGAAGCCTGCCTGAGTTGCTGATCCCAGAGGGAGACACCTCACGTCCTGGTGGCCATTCACCTGGTGGGAGCCGGAGCGGGGAAAACGTTTCCTCTTGCTGTTCAGTATTCTGTTTAACCAGAACAACAGCAGCGTGTGCAGGGTGTAAGGTTCTGCTTCCAGACTGGCCTGTAGGGTTTTGCCTCTGGGGTCCTCCACCGAGAAAACACAGGGACGTGAATGTGGTTGCGGGGTTTTCTTCAAACACACAGGGGTGAAAAGACAGGGTGGCTCAGAGAGGGGACCAGGCCGCATGGACTCTTGACTGGCTTGTTTTGGGGAATCCTTTTTTTTTTTTAAAAGATTTATTTATTTATTTTTGAGAGAGAGAGAGAGAGAGAGAGCATGCGAGCATGTGAGCACATGAGCAGAGGGGAGGGGCAGAGGGAGAGGCAGACTCCCCATTGAATAGGGACCGCGATGGATGTGGGACTCGATCCCAGGACTCCAGGATCATGACCTAAGCCGAAGGGAGATACTTAACCCAGAGCCACCCAGGCGTTCTGGGAATCTTTTTTTTTTTTTTAAGATTTAGTTATTTGAGAGAGAGCACACATGAGCATGAACAGGAGGGGCAGAGGGAGAGGGAGACAGGATCTCAAGCAGACACCCCCCTGCCCTGCTGAGCACAGAGCCCAACTCAGGGCTTAATCTCATGACCCTGAGATCATGACCTGAACTGAAACCGAGTCGAATGCTCTACGGACTGCATCACCCAGGTGCCCTTGGGGAATCATTTTTAATTGCTTATCGCTGTCAGCTGCCTCCCTGGGGCTGCTGTGCGTGTGGGTGGGATTTCCTTTCTGGATCCTTCTCTGTGGACCCCTGATTATCTGTGCCTGGTGAGTAAGACCAGGTTGCGCTTGGTGTCCTAGTTGCAGGTAAATAAAAACCATTTGGCTGAAACCAGCCCAGGCCACGCATTTGCTGCCCATGAAGGGTGTTTGCTGTTTAACGAGCCTGGCTATTTGAGATGTGGTCTTAAATGGGGCTGTTTTTAAGAGGAACATCCTATCCCACACTTTCCAAGTCTGATCTTGTGATGTCCTGAAATGCCTAACCATGGTCCTCAGGAGAACTGTAAACCTTTCAGAAAAACCCTAAAAACAAGTAAATGAGAATTAAGTTTTGGTTATGGAAACAAGCATTTGGCTGAAGGGTAGTCACTGTAGGACCGGGAAAGAAAAAATGCCGTCAGTGATGGCAGCTGGCTCTCCAAATAAGGGGTCAGCCACCATCCCAGGGCCTGGGGAGGGCTGCTCAGTTCCTGCAGAGGAAGGACAGGCTGTGTTACATGGGCCAGGCTCCGCAGAGCCCCAGACTTTAAGGGCTGCGGCTCCTGATGCGAGTTTTTCCATGGGGCTGGTTTGGGGTGGGGAGGGAGAGGGGAGGGGTGGGCAAGAGGACTGTGAGGATGATGACAGTACCAGCGAGAGCCTGTCTCCTGTTGAATCCGATATAGGAAACCTGATCTGGGAAGACCAGGCTCCCGGATTAGCCTGAGACCTCAACAGTCCCTGAGGTTCGCTGGCTCTCCAGCTGTGGTCGGGGGAGGGGAGGGGAGGGGAGGTGGCCAGGCCTGCCTGCCACGAGTCAGGGGTGCCTGAGAAAGGTGGTGCTGGCGGGGCAGGAGGGCAGGAGCCGTGGGGGCCAGGCCTCAGCCAGACCAGACACCAGACGCAGACAAGACGGGTCCCCGTGCCCGACTCCACGGGCACTCTGCTCCAGCTGCTCAGTCCCCAGCCCCCTAACCAGCCCCCTAACCAGCCCCCTGCAGCAGCCCCCTAACCAGCCCCCTGCAGCCACAGGGAACTTCAGTCCTAACCAGGGGCTCTGGCCCTGGAAACAAGAACGGGAAGTGGAGACCTTGCTTGTAGGCGGGTGAGGAATGAAGTCTTCCCCTGTGCCAGGAAAAGGTTTCTTGAGCACCACTGTGCCGCCTTGAAAGGGAGTGAGAGGGGCTCCCTTCCCAAGGGGACTACTTGTGGAGGGCGACGAGTGACTGGCGTGGTGCAAGGATGAGCCTGGCAGACAGAACGTTCTTGGTCCAGCTGGGGCCAATGTGGGTCCTGACAGTGGGCCCCCATCTCCTGGCATGGTCGCCAGCATGCGCACCCCCAGGGGAGAGGGCTGAGCACGGGGTGGGGGGGCGGGGAGTGAAGGGAGCCCCGCGCGGGGGCACAGGCTGGGGGACAGGGTTCTGGGCTAGGGAGCCAGGGGCCCGATGATGAAGGGGAGCACGGCCTTAACTCTGAACGTGGTAGAGAGGGTTTGAGGCAGCAGCTGTCCTCAGTCAGGGCTGCCGGCGGGTCTCAGGCAGGTCAGTGTCGTGCCGCTGTTGGAGCCTCGAAGGCAGGCGGGGCAGCGACCTCGCTTGTGTTTCAGGCAGGAGAACATCCTTCCAGCTGTGGGGACGGGATGCATCGGGCGCTTGGGGTCTGAGGGACTCTGTTCTGGAAAGAGATGCGGACCTGGCTGTCTTGAAGGACGAGGAAGAACTAGCCAGGCCGAGAACGGAGGTGGGCCCCTAGTGAGGAGGAGCAGGGCTGTGGGAGCAGCGAGCTCGGGGCGGCTGCGGGCCTGTGGAGCCCCGGCCCTAGTGAGCGCGTGGGCCCGTGCCGTTAAAGGTCGTGAATAGAAAGCTTTTCCCTTTGTTCTGTGCTCTCTGTCTCTCTCTCGTCCATTTTTTTCTTTGCTAGTGAAGAAATATTAAAAATCCATAGTATTAGCGTGAGCTTTACCATTCATCTTTATATGGTGAATGTCAGTTTTAAATGCAAATATAAGGTCACTTGATTCCGATGTGGAAGTCACCAAAACGACACAATGCCCGTGGTCACAGCTCCTTCATACGTAAGTGTTTTGTTAGCGGAACAGAGGAAATGCTGCACAAAGCCAACTCAGCCGTTTTGTTTTACTTCTTGATATGTGCACATGTTAGCAACACTCCCTCCTCCAGCCCACTGAGTAAGGAAAGACCGAAAAGAAAAAGACTGAGTCACCCAATCTTCCCGTCTTCTGTGTCATTTTTAGCCTAAGTTGTTGGCTCATACAAGCAAGTAACACAAGTAAGAAATAATACAGGGATATTTACTTGGTTTTTCGTGTTTCTTAAAGCACCACCGTCTTCTACACTCAGAGCCGGCTCTGGCCCGATGGCAGGTGTGGCACTGGGGCTGCTGGGCCCCCCTTACTCAGTTGTGGGGGCAACGCGCTCCCCCCGAGGCTGGCTGAACTCCCACATGCAGTGGGTCTCCCCAGAACTCTGTTCATCAGGCGTAGCAAATGCTGCGTGCAAATGGGTGACAGGAGGGCAGACACACACGGGGGGCACACTCCCGTGCACACGCGCACACACGCTCCACTGTCCCGTTAGACTTCGCTTCTAGAACACAAGGTCACAGGTAGAATGATGAAGAATGTCAGGATGGGGACAGCGGGGCATCACACCCAGGGCTCCCCCTTCCGAGAGAGGCATAGACGACATGGCAGGAGGGCACCCCGGGAAGACCAGCAGTGAGGGGCTGGCCAGGGAGGTCAGGCTGGCAGCCCCAGGGCTGCATTCATCCTGGGCTGGTCTGAGTCCGGAGTTCGCCTTCAGGGCAGCCGCTCTCCGGACCCTCCGCAGCCTCTGTGGCTGCCTGTTGTCCCGCGCTCCCCGCTCTGCCCGGTTCAGTCCCTGCCTGGCCCCGGGCTCCTGGGTGGTTCGTGGCTGGTGCGCTGGGCCTGTCTCGAGGACACCAGCAGGCTGTCCGGTGAAGCACACGGATTCCGGTTCTCATCCAGTAAGTTTGAGGAACCAGAAGGACCCACGGGAGAAACATGTCTAGACGGCAGTTGGAGGTGCTTGGGAAGGGCGGAGTCGGCCCAGGGGAAGCCGGAGGAACGAGAAGAGGCTCCAAGGGCGGCTCTGAGGGTGAAGGGGAAAGGCGGGCAGAGGGAAGGCGGCCCAGGAGCTGGGGAAGCAGGACCAGGGCAGTAAGGTCAGGAGAGAGCAGAGTGAATGCCGGCAGGGAGGGGACTGGCCCCTGGGTGGGCGGATGGGCATCGGGGTGCTGGGGGTGACGGGATGATGCCCTGTGTCCCTGTGTCAAGGCCCGCCCCACGAGCACCACAGCTGTGGGCCCGGGATGGCAGGGGAGCCTCTCGAGCAGATTTCCTTTTTAGGATGGCGAGGTGTGGGCAGGTTTATGTGCTGACGGGAAGAGCACCTTCTTTTCAGACCCTGGGACTCTGTGCAGAGAGCCCCTGGCTCCCAGGAATACCAGTGATGAAAGGGGCCGATGCCTAGAAAGTGCTTCATACTCAGTCACTGTCACTGAGTGTGGGGACATTTCTAGGGTGAGTCACAGGTAGCACTGTCTTCTCTGTGGCTTCTGTGAACTGCCCCCTGCCTTCTCCCCCTTGAAGAGCCTTACCACGCGGTGTCTTCTCTCCAAGGCTGACGACTGCTGCCAAGGGCAGGCGCGTCTGAATGGCCCCGATCATCAGACCGTGGTGATGGGTCCGGGCCTCATGGTTTACTGACCTTGAACGTGTCTTCAAGGGCTGTGAAACCACACGTGTCTGCCCACCTTCCTGCCCGCGTGCGGGCCAGCGTCCCACTGAGGGCCTATAGAGACGTGCCCCGAGGTCTTGGGTGCCCGCCAGCGGGGACATCCCCCCCGCCCCCCAACCCGAGAAATAAGGACGCCTGACTCCAGAGCTGACTCCATCTGTCCCAGTGTCCTAGGCCTCCTGTAACAAATTACCACAAACTTTGTGGCTTAAATAACAGAAATGGATTCTCTGACGGGTCTAGAGGTGAGAAGTCTGAAATGAGTCTTAGAGGGGCTAAAATCAAGGTGTCAGAGGGCCAATTCCTCCCGAGGCTCCAAGGCAGCATCCTTATCTTGCCTTTCCTGGCTTTGGGCGGCTGCTAGTATTCCTTGGCTTGCAGCCACATCCCTCTTGCTTCCTCTTGTCACATCTCCCTCTGCCTCCCTGGTAGAAGGATAGTTGCTAGTGCATTGAGGACTCACTAGATAATCCAGGATATCCCCCCATTTCCAGGTCTCGGACTTAAATCACATCAGCACCGTCCCTTTTGCGATATTAGGTCACACTTACAGGTTCCAAGGGTTAGGACATGGATATCTTTGGGGCCATGATTCGGCCTGCCGTGCCATCCTCAGGGTGGATTCTCCAAGCCCTTTTGTGAAGTAGGTGGGGCATATGATGTGCTCGTTTTCCCACAGAAGAAACTAAAGGTCTGACATTTTGGAGGCAATACAGACTTTGGAGTTGGCAGCAGGGCCAAGACCAAGGCCAGGCCTCGGACTCCAAACCTGGGACAGATTCTGTAGCCCCCCCAACCAGGACCCTGCTGCTGCAGAGCCCCAGGGCTGAGACAGAACCGTGTAGGGATTTAGGGGCTGCCCAGGGCATCCCAGTACTTCAAAACTCAGATGAGTCCTGGCTTCTGGGAGCTCATCTGCAGTTTCTGAGTCTGGTCCGGGAGGTGGCGTAGCCATGACAGCCCCCTGACGGAAACCCCTTGCCCCCCATCTGTGGGGCTCTGGGGCGTGGGTGAGGGGCCGCCCTGTCTCTGAGACAGGGAGTCCGTGTCCTCGCTGGGCCTTGCCAGGGGAAGGCAGCACACAGAAATGCTCCTCCCTGGGGACGGCCCACTAGGGCTTACCTCAGTGCAGAGGAAGCACGAAGCCCCGCTCAGCGCCAGGGAATGAGCGATTTTCCACCAGACCACTGCTGCCTGGGCTCAGCTAGAGCCTTCTCTTTTATTGTCTTGAACAGATGAGCTCAGTTGTGGGGGAATGAGGCTTTGGCGGCTCGGTTCTGTTTGTCTTGCGGAGACTGAATCCCTCCCTCCCCACTCTGTCAGATCAGGACCTAATGAACCCCACACAGAGCTGCCTGGACCCTGCCAATTGCATCCCGCTGTGGGGCCTGCCTGGGAAACAGTGTGCACCCCACCTCCAGCCGCCTGCTGCCCCAGGCACGAAGCCAAGGGCACGGTGCCTGCCCTCTCCTGCCAGCTTGAGCTTCTTCCTCAGACCACGAATGGGGGAGCAGGGTGGAGGGAACGGACTGGAACAGTTCAGAAATGAGGGTGGCCTGGAATTGAGAGAGCCCTCAATCCAAACTGGAGGCCTGTGTGTTTTTGTTCAGGTGAACACTTGTCACTGTTACCCATCTGTCTGCCAGTTTGATGGCAGATGGAGGGGTGATCTGCTGGTGAGAGCACCCTGCTGGGGGCAGGGTGAGGGCGGGGGCACCTTCCCACCTCCTCTGTAACCCACCAGCACGGGGATAGAAAGAGCGCGTGTCCTCAGTGGTCACACACAATTTTAGTATCTCTGAGGGCTGTGCTCAATAAAAACACTACATATTAAGCATTCTAGGCTTTCTACTTGGTCTAGAACTCAGCAGAGTGCTGGTGGCCTTTGAGGGCCCCTCCTGGACACTAGGTCACCCCAAAGAGCCCCTGAGAAGTATAGCTCCTGGGCACTCGGTCACCCCCTGCTCCTGAGGCAGACTTGACTTAGAAGGGGCTCCTGCAAGCCAGAGCAAGCTGCTTACGTGGAGCTTGGTCTCCTTTCCTCCAGGTCCCCAGAAGGGGACTCTGGCATCTTGCCTACGGTAGCATCGGGGCAGAGGCTGAGGACAGCTCTCTAGGACCCAGCAGGTGGGCCTCGGGGGCACGAACATCCAGTGTTCAGTCTAGACTAGCGTGGCCCCAAATACCCTGGGCCACACCCTCGGGGCAGCTCAGCCGCTGGTGGAGCTCCATGTCCCTGGCTCACGTGTGGCAGAGTCCTCAGCTCTGCTCACGCATCCCCTGCTGCTGTGTATTTGTCCAGACGCTGTATCTTGAGGACTGAGAACGAGAAGGAAAGCCCCAAACCCACTCCCTCCGTGCTTGGGTAGGGGCGGTCAGGGAGTGCAGAGGGGGAGGCACAGGCATCCTGGAGAGGAAAGGGGACATCCTGTGAGAGGCTCATTCACAGCACTGTGGGGACAGATGGAATCCAGTCGAAGCAGGATGGTTTTTCAGAGGAGGATGTGGTGTCAGAAAAGAACACTGGAGATTAGATCCTTGAGGGGGATGAGTTTGTAGGATTGAGAAGTCAGAGGACGGTGGCAGCAGGTGGCTTTGTAGGAGTGGAGTGTAGGACTGACGGGGGGGTGGTGGCGAGCGGATGGTGCTAAGGTGTCCAGGCTCGGGTCAGAAGCCCCCCAGAGGCCATAGACCGGAGTGGGGGTGGGCACAGGTTTCAGGAGCTTCAGGTCTTCCTTCATCCCAACCCCGCCAACCCCTCTCCTCCGTCAGGAAGGTGCAAAGACACCCTGTCCACGATCACGGGGCCGACCACCCAGAACACCTATGGGCGGAACGAGGGGGCTTGGATGAAGGACCCCCTGGCCAAGGATGAGCGGATCTACGTCACCAACTATTACTACGGCAACACCCTGGTAGAGTTCCGGAACCTGGAGAACTTCAAACAAGGTACGCGCCGTGGGCCCGCTAGGGGCTTGCAGGGGGGTGTTCCTGACGTCCCCGCGCCCCCTGTTCCCATCAAGGCCAGATCGCTCTGGGAGGTGCCCGCGAACCAGAAAGGGGTCTGCCCATGGTGAAAGGACCTTCCTGTTCGCGGAGGTTCCCCTTCCGCATGCCCCACGTTCTCTGTGCTCCGCTCCTGGGGTTCCGGGCGTGGGGGTGGGGGAGGGGTAGCAGTGAGCTCGCCCCCTTCCTAGAGCGGGGCCCCTGGGGGGAGCAGCGCCCCTGGGGGGAGCAGCGCCTGGGAATGGGAACTGTTCCTCGGGGTGAGGGATGAGCGTGCGGAGGCTCACCAGCGTGAAGCCGTTTGCTGCACAAAACTAGAAAGTGGCGGAGCTGAGACACAGCCCCAGGGCTGCGGACCCGGGGCCGCCG